AAGCTCAGAGGATGCTCAGGCAGGTAAAGAATTCCCTAGGACTCCTTGTTCCGCAGCTCAGGGTCCTGGGGACAACACAGAGGGCATTAGACCTTACACGGGAGATTCTGTGTGACCAGACCCATGTACGGGACCCAGCCAGAGAGAGTCCTACAGGACAAGGGGATCGGCATGGGTCCCGAAGCCCGCGTGAGGAAATATTTGCTTGGGGCTCTGGCCTTGTGGCTGTTGTCACAATCAACGATGCAGCTAATCAGAAGATAGTAAATGTCCTCCCAAAGCTTTTGATCATCTAGGAGAAGAAAAGGCATGAAATGGGACAGAGCAGCTTCTGTGGGAATAGAGGAGTCTTGCTGTTTCAACAGACCCAGGAGACTGGGATGAATGGGGGGATAGAGGGTTGTGGGGCTGCAAGTAGGAGGAAACATTGAAGGATATACCTTTCTAACGCAGAACTCACGAGGTGTGCTTTATTGGTGACCTTGCTGGCATCACCACCAACACTGTATCCTTATTATGCAGATGACGCACAGATCCTAGAGGCTTTTCACAAGTTGCCACCAAGGCACAGCCTCCAGGAGAACGGAGCCAGATCCTAGAATGAAATCTATGATGTCTACCTCCTGACTGAAGAGTCTGGCTGGACGTTTATCTCCCGGCTTTAGGTCAGGTGACTGACTTCGCATCACGCACCCGGCCCTTACCTTGGGTTTCCAGCTTTATTTCAGGTGCCCCCAGCTTTACTTCACGTTCCTATCTCTGGTTCACACCTGCAGGCTGAAGAGCCACATGCCGGGCTTTATGGAACACACCTGGAACTATGGCTGTCCCGAGGCTTTGTACCTCAGTTTCCTGGCACTTACCTCACGTAGACCTGCTTTACGTCATCTTGCTGCACTTATGGCACCTGACCTTTCCCAGGGTTCACGTCACTGCTTTACGGCACTGCTGAGGCTTCATTTACATCATTCCCCGTCTTTACATTACTTGGCCCAGCTTTACAGTAGTGAAGTCCCCAGCCTTCGTCTGTATCAATTTCCAGCTTTACATCTGCAGGCCTTGCTTTACCTCACCCGACCCTGCTTTAGGGCACTTCCCCTAATTGGCCTGATCTCAGGTTTTTGGACTTTTCAGGCAGCAATCTGGCTTTCTCTCTCCTATCCTGGCTAAAATATCCTGACCCTGCTTTTCGCCAGGAGCCTGGCTTTATCTCACGTGCCCTACTTTATATCAGGACTTGTTATAGGGAAGAAAGGAAGAACTAATCTGACTTCAAATTATGTTTGTTTTTCTTTTTTTCTTTTTAAAGTATTCATTTATTTTTGGCTGCACTGGTTTTTTGTTGCTGCGCATAGGCTTTCTCTAGTTGCAGGCAGCAGGGGTTATTCTTCCCTGCGATGCACAGGCGTCTCATTGCCGTGGCTTCTCTTGTTGCCAAGCACAGGCTCTAGGCACACAGGCTTCAGTAGCTGTGGTGCAGAGATTAGTTGCCCTGAGGCGTGTGGGATCTTCCCCTGGCCAGGGATCAAACTGTCCCCTGCATTGGTAGATGGAGTCTTAACCACTGGACCCCTGAGGAAACCTTGTTTCTTTCATTTTAACCTTTGCTTTCTACTGTTTTTACTGCAAAGTAGTCACTAAAGGAAAGTCACTAAAGGAATGTCTTCTGTTGCCGAAAATACACATCATGGCCTATCTCCAACCCTGTCCCCCCATGCCTGAATGTTAAATTAAAATACCTTTGTTAAGCTCCCAGGAAACATCCTGAACCAGCCCACCTGTGAATAGCTACAGAAAAAAACAGATAAATAAACACACCCCCTCCCACAGTCTGGCCAAAACCAGATCTTTGCAACAACTCATGGTCTTTTTATCCTGACCTCCCCTTTATTTACTCTTGCCTGGAAAATCCCATGGACAGAGGAGCCTGGTGGGCTGCAGTCCATGGGGTCGCTAAGAGTTGGACACGACTGAGCAACTTCACTTTCACTTTTCACTTTCATGCGCTGGAGAAGGAAATGGCAACCCACTCCAGTGTTCTTGCCTGGAGAATCCCAGGGACGGGGGAGCCTGGTGGGCTGCCATCTATGGGGTCGCACAGAGTTGGACACGACTGAAGCGACTTAGCAGCAGCAGCAGCAGCCCCTTTCTTTGTTCTCTAAAAGATATTAGCTTCCAGACCCTGGTAAGATGGTTTTTTAGGACACTGGCTCACCGTCTTCTTGGAATCCTGGCATGATGAACAAGGTCCTTAGTCCATGCCCCACAACTGGCTCCTGACTTACTGGCCTATCGTGCGGCAAAGAGAATGAGCTCGGAGCTGGCAGTTTCCCCTGTGCTGCTTTTCCATGGGGAGCGCTACTGCACACGGCCAACCAGCTGGGTTTCTACGGATGCACGATCCATTCCCTTAGGACGTGCTTAACTGGAGAGACCATAACCTTGCTTACTGAGCGGACCCTGAATGGCTGAACTCTTTATTGAGGCTGAACTCAACCTCCCAATTGGGTGGACATTCATACTTTCATGCATAGAAAGCTTATGTGTATTAGTCGCTCAATCTTATCTGACTCTTTGTGACCCTATGACCCTATGGATTGTAACCCGCCAGGCTACTCTGTCCTTGGAATTCTCCTGGCAAGAATACTGGACTGGGGTGTTATTCCCTTCTCCAGGGGTAGGATGCTTACCAGGGATAGATAAACAGTTCAGTCGCCCAGTGGTGTCCAACTCTTTGCAACCCCATGCACTGCAGCACACCAGGCTTCCCTGTCCATCACCAACTCCCAAAGCTTGCTGAAACTCAAGTCCATCACCTCATCCTCTGTCGTCCCCTTCTCCTCCCACCTTCAATCTTTCCCAGCATCAGGGTCTTTTCCAATGAGTCAGCTCTTCGCAGCAGGTGGCCAAAGTATTGGAGTTTCAGCTTCAGCATCAGTCCTTCTGTTAGGGGAAGCACACTGATTGAAACCCCCCACCCCAGCCAGGCCCCATAATAACCATTCCCATGAGTTGTTTTATGACCGGAGATCCTGGTAAGAAATACAGAACTAATAAGCCACCACCAACCGGAAGAGTTCAGGAAAGGTCGAAAGGAGACAGCGTGTGTCCGTCCACGTCCCAGAATCCCTCTCGCTAGCGTCCATCTTGGCTGAGCAATGCGTACGCCACCAGGAAAGACTCTGAATTAGAATGATTGGCCAAAGACGACCCAGAATCTAATCACCATAAAACCTGAGACTGCAAAGCCATGTGGCAGAGCAGTTCTCCTGGGCTCCCTGACCCTCCTGCTCTCCCCCCGGGCGCCCTCTCCCAATAAAATCTCTTGCTCTGTCAGCACATGTGTCTCCTTGGACAATTCATTTCCGAGTGTTAGACAAGAGCCCAGTTTCAGGCCCTGGAAGGGGTCCCCTTCCTACAATATTTCCAATGAACACTCAGGACTGATCTCCTTTAGGATGGACTGGTTGGTTCTCCTTGCAGTCAAGGGACTCTCAAGAGTCTTCTCCAGCACCACAGATCAAAAGCACCAATTCCTCAGTGATAAATGGAGGATAAATGGAGGATGGATAAATGGAGGATGGATAAAAGGAGGATGGATAAATGGAGGACGGATAAATGGAGGATGGATAAATGGAGAACGGATAAAGGGAGGATGGATAAACGGAGAACGGATAAACGGAGGATGGATAAACGGAGGACGGCCAAACGGAGGACGGCTAAATGGAGGACGGCTTTTGACAATCTACAGAGGAAGGCTTCCCTGGTGGCTCACACAATGAAGTGTCCGCCTGCGATGCGGGAGACCTGGGTTCAATCCCGGGGTCGGGAAGAGCCCCTGGAGAAGGAAATGGCAACTCAATCCAGTACTCCTTTTTTAAAAAATTTTGGAGGCTAATTACTTTACAATATTGTGGTGGTTTTTGCCATACACTGACATGAATCAGCCACGGGTGCACATGTGTCCCCCATCCTGAACCCCCTCCCACCTCCCTCCCCCTCCCATCCCTCAGGGTCATCCCAGTGCACCGGCCCTGAGCACCCTGCCTCATGCATCCCACCTGGACTCACAATCTGTTTCTGATATAGTAATAAACATGTTTCAGTGCTATTCTTTCAAATCATCCCACCCTAGCCTTCTCCCACAGAGTCCAAAAGTCTGTTCTTCACATCTGTCTCTTTTGCTGTCTCGCATATAGGGTCATTGTTACCATCTTTCTAAATTCCATCTATATGCATTAATATACTGTATAGGTGTTTTTCTTTCTGACTTACTTCACTCTGTATAATAGGCTCCAGTTTCATCCTCATTAGAACTGATTCAAATGCCTGAATTCCATGGAAAACCCCATGGACTGAGAAGCCTGGCAGGCTACAGTCCTGGGGTTGCAAAGAGTCGGACAGGACTGAACGACTTTCACTTTTCACAGAGGAAGCACACCAGCTCCATCTAGTGCTTCTGAAGATGGATTTTCTGAAGCAAATCTGGCAGTTTCTATTGCTGAGCCTGGGGCTTTCCAGGTGGCTCAGTGGCTGAGTCCACCTGCCATTGTTGGAAACTCGGGTTCAACCTCGGTCGGAAATCCCCGAAGGAGGAAATGGCAACCCACTTCAGGCCTTGCCTGGAAAATTCCATGGATAAAGGAGCCTGGTGAGTACATGGGGTCCCAAAGAATCAGACATGACCGAATACAAAACAACAGAATTGCTGAGCCTAACTGGGATCCTAATAATGGAGGCGTACCACACCTAGAGCATTATAGAAAGTGTATCTTAGCAGGTTTTTGAAAGGGTATACTTAGGCAAAAGAGCTTAAACAAAATTCAGGAGATACAACAAAAACTTAATGAGGCTCCATCAGAGTTACGGCTCAATCAATAAAGAATCTGCCTGCAGTGCAGGAGACAGAGGAGATGCAGGTTCAATTCCTGGGTTGGGAAGATCCTCTGGAGGAGGGAGGGCAACCCACTCCGGTATTCTTGCCTGTAAGAAATCTCATGAACAGAGGATTCTGATGGGCTACAGTCCATAGGGTAGCAAAAAGTCAGACATGACTGAACATACATGCAAACACATGTACACAAAGTCAAAGAATTTATCAAGCTCATAGGCGCTATAGGAACGCAGACCCTGAGGCCCCCGAGAATATCAGGACAGTAAATATGACCTTCATTGAACAAACTACCCCAGATGTAAGAAGAAAATTACAAAATTCAGATGGTGCATTTAGAATGAATGCTTCTCAGTTGGTAGATGTTGCTTTTAACATGATCAACAACAGGGAACAACAACAGAAGAAAGAAGATGCAAAGTGGACCACCACTTTCCTGGCAGCAGCGTTGGATTCCTGGAAAGTGTGTAACTCGGAGAGAGGTAAGTCACCACTGGGGAAGGAATGATGCACTTACTGTAAGGAGGAAAGGCACTGGAAAAAAGATTGCCCTGGGCTAGAACATAGGAAGAAAACAATAAAAGGAAGCCAGGAGCCTCCTGTATGGTAGAAAGAGAGGAACACTCACGGTAAATACAAGATCTGTGTTTAAGGGGGGCATGCAATTCCAATTTCTCCACAGGAGCCCCAGGCAACTTTGACGGGGAGCCAGTTGATTGACTTTCTAATAGATACAGGCATAACATATTCTGTGGTAAGCACCAAACTGACACAGAAAACATCTCAATTCACCCCAATCACAGGGGTCTCTGAAGAAGCACAAAATCATTCATCCTTACAATCTCCAGAATGTCAACTAGGGTACCCCACCCTGAAACACAGTTTCTTATGCTATGCCAGAGTGTCCAATCCCTCTTTGGGGACAGAATCTCCTTTGTAAGTTAAAAGCTCAAGTAACATTTTTGCCAGAACAGCTTGACATCAGGGGCCCACCCACCAGAGCATGCTTTGAGCCTAAAGATGGCGCTCATGGAAACCCCAGAAAAGGAGATGGAGCTCTTTCTCCCCTGAGCTATTTGCTTTTACATGACAGGACCCAGAAACACAGGTAGTTCAACAGTGTGCTTAGACAGACCTCCATCAAGGATTTAAGAATTCCCCTACTGGAAGTGGCTCTTTTGCAGGAAACTGCCCTCAGGAGGAAGCCCCTGTCCTTGCCACCTTAGCAAAGCTATATTGTAACTCACTTTTAAATCAGGCACCCCCATGTTCTCAACTCCAACCCAAGCATACTTTTCAAATCTTTTAATCTCACAATACCTTGCCTAACTTGCTGGTTCTTTCCATAGATCAAAGCAGTAGACAGGAAGAATAAGTAGTTAACAGGTGACCAGATCTCTTCCCTAGCTTCCCCTCCAGTAGTCTGAACATACTGTGTGAACAAGATTAACATCTAGGGGAAGATCATGAGGAGTCCACAAGCCTGCACACAGTGGGATGGACAAGACTCTTACTCCCTACCTCAGTGATGAACTGAGATTACTTCCGTTTCCCTTTCAAGACTTTCAGGGCTGAAGAGAATCTTCAGAAGTGGCTTCCTGGGGACGCTGAGTCCACCTTCTCCCCAGATTGCTGCCCTTCTGATTAAAAGCACTTTTTCTCTCCACCAACATTTGTGAGCATTGATTTTGTAAGGGGTGAGCGGCAGGACCTGCTTCACTGGGTCACTACTTTGGGGAAACCTCGGCTAGGGACCTCAGAAACTTAACACTGGTCAAAGGACTCTTACTTCAATATGTGGACAATTTGCTCACAGCGAGTTCTACATATGAGAAAGGTCTACAAAACACCATCAGAGCTCTGAACTCTTTGGCCAATTATGGATATAAGGTCTCCCAGAAAGAGGCCCAGACATGTCAGCAACAAGTTACCTATGCAGGTCTTTTCCTTTCCTAAGGACAGTGGGACCTTTCGCCCAACAGACAACGGGCAGTTCAGACTGAAGAACACCCAAGACCCACAGGCACCTGAGGGTCTTCCTGGGAATGGCAGGATTCTCTCAGATTTGGGTCCCAAATTATGGGCTCAGAGGAACACTCTTCTATGAGGCTTGAAACGGACATGATCTTGAGTCCCTTACTTGGACTAAAGAGTACCAGACAGCCTTTGAAACAATAAAAACAAAGTTAGCCTCAGCCTGACCTTTAAAACTGTATGTCCAGAAGAGACAAGGCCTGAGTCTTGGGGGTGTTAATTCAAGTCTGGGGAATGACCCCCTGACTACTTCTCAAAACAACTAGTACAGACTGTTAAGGGGTGGCTCCCTTTCCATCCAGCTGTAGCAGCTACATGTGACAGGCTTCAGGAAGCTGACAAGTTTACCCTGCGGCAATCCACCACTGTGAAAGTCCCTCCTCACATCCTTTCTTTACTGGAACGAAGAGGGAGCTATTGGCTGACTTCTGAGAGAATTCAGGAGTATTCTCTTAGACAATCCCAATTTAAGACTTTCCAGAGGTCACTTCAGCCTGAAATCCAGCCACATTTGTTCCTGATTGATGCTTCACACCCCTCAATGCACAACTGCCTACACGTCACTGCGCTAGTGTACTGTAGCAGACGGAACTTAACGGACCAACCCTCCACTGAACCTCATGTGGGACTGATCAGGGATGGAAGCAGCTTCATGGACCAGAAATCATCGCTCTGACAAAATCCCTACTAAGCACTGAAGACAAGGGAGTAAATAAACACACACACACACTCTCACTGTGCATTCTCCCTGTTGCACACTCACGGGCAATCTGGAAAGAATAGGGGCTCCTCAGTCAAACCGTTAAGACAGAAAGCATGCTTCTGAAATCCTGTCACTATTAGAAGCGGTCCATAAGCCCTCCCAAGTGGCCGTAAGGCCACCAAAAGGGTAAAACTCATACAACAGAGGGCGACTCGTTAGTTGCCCAAGCTGCAAAAAAAGCCAGCAAAGAAGGTGATGATCAAGCTTTGATGAGGTCAAGGAGGAATCAGGAGTCTGCCAAAGGCACGCCCACAAGCGCCCGGGTTAGGCCTGGGCTCCTAACCTGCATAGTCTCACCCACAGAGCCCCATCCTTGGAAGTGAGGTCAGCTCCACCTTTCGCTAGTTTGGGCAGGGCCTGGTCAGCCTACACATTGCCTTCGCAAACTCACCCTTCTGCGCCACGAGCTTCCCTTTTTCCAGAGGCCGCCAAGCCCTTAGGCTGCCTAAATCCCCAGAAACCCACGAAAAGTTCCTGCCTCTGAGAGGCCCGCCTTTCACCTTAGCAACGGAACCCCTTAAGTTGGCCAGCCTGCGCACGGCACTCCGATTGCGGGCGGCCCCTGTCCGTCAAGCATTTTCTCTCTGTCCAGTGTCCACTCCACCTTCCTGCCCCTGCCTTTCCTGGAGGATAACGGAGGATGAAGTTTCCTCCATTCTGGCGCGCCCCATCTATCAAGACAGGCTGCGAGCTTCCTCCAGCGAAGAGAGGAATAGGCCCCAGCCTTCCATTGGGTCCGGAGAAATGTCAGTCAAGGGATGGGCGGGTACAACAGCGACCTGACGCAAGGTTTCCGTGGAGACACTTCTCAGACTGAATGGGGCGGGATGACCTGAGGGGACCGGCTTCGCTTTATTGGGCCACAGGCGAGGCAGTCCGCCTTCCGTACTCCGGATTGGCTGAGCGCGAGCCGCGCCCCCCTCACGCCGGCGGCTTTCGCACGAGAAGTGGGCCCATTTCACCCCAGTTGTAGCCACACGTGCCCTCGCGGTGGGAGTGAGTGCAGTCCGGGCCGGCCAGATCTGTCGTAGACCCAGGAGCAGCGCGGGCCTCTTCAACGGTAAGGGAACAAGAGTGGGCGGCAGGAAGGAGGGGTAGGGCGTCCGGAGGGCGACTAAAGCTCCGCAACCGGAAGTCGCTTCCGAGCGGCGTCGCACCCGGAAGTGTGGCGGGACGGCAGCCACACCCGGAAGTGTGGTGCTTCCGGGACTACGGGAACTAATGGTACCTGGACGTACTCCGGATTGGCTGAGCGCGAGCCGCGCCCCCCTCACGCCGGCGGCTTTCGCACGAGAAGTGGGCCCATTTCACCCCAGTTGTAGCCACACGTGCCCGCGGGGTGAGAGTGAGTGCAGTCCGGGCTGGTCAGATCCGTCGTAGACCCAGGAGCAGCGCAGGCCTCTTCAACGGTAAGGGAACACGAGTGGGCGGCAGGAAGGAGGGGTAGGGCGTCCGGAGGGCCACTAAAGCTCCGCAACCGGAAGTAGCTTCCGAGCGGCGTCGCACCCGGAAGTGTGGCGGGACGGCAGCCACACCCGGAAGTGTGGTGCTTCCGGGACTACGGGAACTAATGGTACCTGGCCAATTGAGATGCAGAGTTAAAACAGGTGTTTGTATATCTTTATTTGCTAAGGCGGTAGAGCCTTCCTTTGCGGGAAGTGTTGGAGGCTGCAAGTATGTGGTCGTGTTTTTGAATGTTTCATCCTGTTGAAACGCCAGGGGAGAACGAGCCCCAGGAGTGTGTGCAAGGAGGTCAGGCTGAGTAAAAGCTTTAAAGAAGTTTCTTTTGCTGCCGGTCACCCTCCATCCCCCCTCCCCCACAGGGATGTGCAGATGGAGGCCGGAGGAGACACTGCTGCCCCAGCCCCTGGGGATGCGGAGGACTTGGAGGAGATGCGGTTCCCCAGTGAGGAGGCTGAAGACGGTGGAGGGGTTCACAGGGACTTACCCGATCCTGGAGATGCAAGCTTGGAGAAAGCAGGTATACATTCCCTTCACTAGGGTCCTGGAAGGAATTCCTAGGAGGTGTTATTCTTGGGGAAGGTTCTTGGGGGCCCAAAGACGACTCTTTGGGACTCGGGGAAGTAGTTTAAACCATACTTTGGGTCAGTGGGAAGTCACTGTGGGCTCAAGTTGTAGTTTAAATAATTGAGGAGTGAAAAGGAAACAAGTGAGTGTCAATGGATGTTCGCTGGGGAGGTGGTGTGAACATAGGCCATTGAAGAATCAGAAAGGGATCCATTGGGATTAGAGAGGGACCCTGGGGGTTTATGCTGTTTAGATCAATGATGACCAAAAGAAAGTTAATATGGTCAGGGAAAATGAAAGTCACTCAGTCGTATCCGACTCTTTGCGGCCCCATGGACTAAACATACAGTCCATGGAATTCTCCAGGCCAGAATACTGGAGTGGGTAGCCTTTTGCTGGAGTCCAGCCCCAGCGGGTCCAGGAGTACCCAAGGGACGAGTGGCGTCGGCGAGGAAGGAGACAGACACACACAGAAGGTTACGTGGAAGAAAAAGCTTTTTTTATTTTTAGGACAGCTCAGTTTTTATAGAATGAACATTACCTCCCCCTTAAGTCACCACATATTACATCAGATATTGGTTTTGTGCTTCTGTCAATATTTTCTTCCCCATGTTTTTCCCCTATGTATTTGTCTAGAACATTTCCGATTACAGGGTTTTTTCTTGAATGTCCCGTACATTAGTCATCTTGCCTCAATGGCCTAACATTTTCACTCTAACAAAAACAATGTTCCACAAATTTCAGGTATGTTATGAATTCTTTGGACAATAAAACAATACATGGGAAGGGCTACACAAACATGTTTGACATTTCTGAGAACAGTACCATATGAAAACCCTCATATTTTTCTTTACCTGAAACTACAAAACCTCAGTCTACAATGATTAACTATGAAGCAGCAAAACACCTCTATTAATAGTGAGGTAATGGCAGTGAAGCTGGTTAATATAAATCTTCTATTGAAATCCTATGTAACACATTTCCTAACTCTACAAAAATACCCATAACATTCCATGTTGTTTAAAGGAAGGGAAACAATGGACAAATAGCAAGGAAATAGCAATAATGAAAACCCTCTCAACCAAGGAGCAAGTAAACTGGAGCAGTACATCTACTTCTAAATCTAAATGCCTCTACTCTTTTCTATTCTAGAACATTATAATCTTTTAAGCAAGCAACCAAACTATGCCTGTGGCCTTTTCCTTTTTGACTTGATGTTTATGGTCGTATCCTGAGCCAGAGCAATCATAAGCATTTCTAAATAGGCTTGGACTTTTCCAGGGAGGCCTGATCACTATATATTACATTTCCAAAAATTAATAGAAAGCCCAACAACAGTAAGACAGAAAGAGGAAAGGGACATACCGGGCCCCCCCAGACAACCCCGAGGGGAAGAGCTGCCTTGCAGGTTCCTCTCTCGTCCTGTGACCTTGTCATGGATTGGGCACATCCCGGCGGCCCCCGACAGCCTTCCCCTTCTCCAGGGGATCTTCCCAATCCAGGGATCGAACCCAGATCTCCCGCGTTGCAGGTGGATTCTTTACCAGCTGAGCCACAAGGGAAGCCCTAATGTGGTCAAAGGGGGACTGTTTAGAAGTTAGTCAGGGGAGCTTTAAAGTTAGTTTGGGGGCTTTAAATTACTGAAGTGGGAAAGGGGATCTGTGAAGGCCAGTGGACACTCAAGAGTATTTACATCTTTGAGGAGTTGATGGCAATTGTTGGAGGGAATCTTTAAGGAGCCAGATCTTAGTGGATTTAATGGTGATCATTGTTGGGGAGACAGTGGACATCAGTGAGACAATTAGAGAGTCAGAGGACCAGTAGGAAGATCTTTAAAGACCCCAGTGTATATGTAGTGGTATAATATGGAGGATTAGCAGAAATCACTGGGGAATGAGTGCTCATTGACAACTTTGGAATTAGTGGATGTTGATGGGGTCTTTGGGAAGGATCATTGAACATTACTGAAAATCAGTAAGGGTGGTTGTCTTTGAGAACTTGGGAAGAATTTGCATGTATTGGGAGGAGGTAATTGGAGACTGTTGTTGAGAGAGCGAGGGAGTATGAGGTCATTGGGATTTTATGGGAAAAGTATTGATACATAGTTGCCAGTGGATAATAGGGTTTTCAGTGGGGATCAGTGGACATTGACTAAAATAAATGGGAGGGTAGTCAGTAGAGGGCAATGAAATTGTGGATTTCACTGATGAATGTTAATGATGGTCATGGGGAGGGGCAATAGAGGTCATTAAAGTCCTCTGTGTTAGTGTATATTTTTACGGTGGTTATTGTAGGGAGGGGGTGGATATCAGGATAGAGGGGAGTCATATCAATGAGAATAAAGGTCAGGCAAGTCAGTAGAGGTCATTGGAGGCCTTGGCTGTTAGTGGAGGTCAATGGTGGTCATTGTTGGGAATGCAGTGGACATGGAGTAGATTAAATTGTGGGTTGGGGCAGTCACTGAAGGTCATTGAAGATCTAGGTGTTAGTTATGTTAATGTGGGGTCACTGGAATGTTACCGAGCAGCAGTGGGAACAAATAGGAAGTTGGGGAAGTGCTAAAGATCTGGATGTTAGTGGATAATCATGGCAGTCTTTGGGAGAATTAGTGGTCTTCCCCAAGAATATAAATGGGTGACCAGGAGAGTCAATAGTGTCGTTAGGATCAGTGGACATCAGTGAGAATAAATAAGGGGTTAGGGTAGTGAGGGGTGCAAATAACTGCTGACACAGCTGTTAGTAGGTATAATGGAGGCCATTAAGTAATGAGCAGATATCAGGAGAGTAAATGAGGGGTCAGATTAAATGGGGGTTCACTGAAGATGAAGATATGATTATTCACAGGTGTTGGGGTGCTTTACAAACTTGGGAATGGCAGTTATTTAAAGGGGAATAATTATTTGGTAGGGAAATAGAGGGTTCAGTAATGTAAGTTAGATGGGCTTATTGGAGTTTTTGCAGGGGAGGTCATTGAAACCCAAGTGTTAGTAGATGTCGTTGAGGGGCAGAGGAGACACCTGGAGGTGTATGTCAGTGGCAGGGATCACTGCAGGGCTGCTCGGGTTTTGGTAATTCTGTGGACACATGGGGTTGGGGGGGGGGGTCCACAGGCAGATGACTTACTGGAGGCTCCCTTTCAGGATCCAAGACCAAGGACCAGTCACCTAGCCTGCTGCTCCAGTCAGAGGCTCCATCATGTACCTGTGGGCTCTGGAGCCCCGCAGCCTCCGAGGGCAGTCCTCTGGGCTGCCCTGAGACTGGCTTAGGGGGCCCTGGTGGGGACCCAAGCGATGAGGACTGGCGCAGCAAACGGAAGCACGTGTTTGTGCTGAGTGAGGCCGGCAAGCCCATCTACTCGAGGTACGGCAGCGTGGAAGCCCTGTCGACCACCATGGGTGTGATGACAGCCCTGGTGTCCTTCGTGCAGAGCGCAGGAGATGCCATTCGCGCCATCTATGCTGGTGAGCACAGGGGCAGGAAGCAGGCAGGCGACAGTGCCTGGGACCCTGGCTGTCTGTTGGAGGGCTGTCTGGCTGGCTGCCTGCCTAGGGGACTCTGGAGCTAGTTAGGAGTGAGTCAGTGTGTGTGGAAGCTGGCCAGGCATCTGTCCAGGGGGCCTATCTGTCCGTTTACCCTGCTGAGTTCTGATTGATCAACTCACTGGGATGTAAGTAACTGGCTGGATACTTCCTTGTTGCCTGAGAGCCTGAGGGTGGGGGCTGTGTGAGTTGGGTGCTTTTCTACCTCTGTTAGTTTTCCTTTCTCCATCTTCCCCACTGCATGCTGTATGCCTGATTCTTGACCATCCCATCATATCTCTGCAAATGTCCCAACTACCCCAGTTTGTCCTTACCCTAGTCCTGGCGCCCCTGCAGTGACAGAGTGGGCTTGGACCAATTGTGTGTGCCTTTCAGGGGGAAGGGTGGAAGAGCCCCACTTGACCCCCTCGTGTCACCACTGACCCATCTCCCTCGACTGTCCCTTCCCTCCCCCAGAGGACCACAAGCTGGTGTTCCTACAGCAGGGCCCGCTCTTGCTGGTGGCCGTGTCAAGGACTCCTCAGTCAGCCGCCCAGCTGCGTGGGGAGCTGCTGGCCGTGCACGCACAGATCGTGAGCACCCTGACGCGCGCCAGTGTGGCCCGCATCTTTGCGCGCAAGCAGAACTACGATCTCCGCCGCCTGCTGGCCGGCTCAGAGCGCACCCTGGACCGACTTCTGGACAGCGTGGAGCGGGACCCGGGGGCCCTGCTGCTGGGCGCCGTGCGCTGCGTGCCTCTGGCTCGCCCGCTGCGGGACGCGCTGGGCACGCTGCTCCGACGCTGCACGGCGCCCGGCCTGGCCCTCTCGGTCCTGGCGGTGGGCGGTCGCCTGGTGACAGCCGCCCAGGAGCGGACGGTGCTGGCCGAGTGCCGGCTGGACCCCGCCGACCTGCAGTTGCTGCTGGACTGGGTGGGGGCGCCGGCCTTCGCCGCGGGCGAGGCCTGGGCGCCCGTGTGCCTGCCTCGCTTCAATCCTGATGGTTTCTTCTACGCCTACGTGGCCCGCTTGGACGCCATGCCCGTCTGCCTGCTGCTGCTGGGCACCGACCCCGAGGCCTTCCATGACATGGCCACCTGCCGGCGCCTGGTCGAAGAAGGCATGCACTCGCTTGGAGCCATGCGTGCCCTCAGGGAGGCTGCCAGCTTCTCGAATGCTGCATCGGCCAGTGCCTCGGCCTACAGTGTGCAGGCTGTGGGCGCTCCCGGCCTCCGGCACTTCCTCTATAAGCCACTAGACATCCCTGACCATCACCGCCAGCTGCCCCAGTTTACCAGGTGGGCTCTGCCCCTGTGGGCAACTGGCTGGGTGGGGAGGCTTATCTAACTGGAAGGTTCAGCCGCTCAACAGACATGACTCTGGGGACAGCCGGCCGTGCTGTCTACAAATGCAATAGAATGGGTCTCTGCCTGATGTGGGAGTCCCAGCCTCCAGCCTCCAGAAGTCCCCTGTCCTGATGGAGAGGAACTCCCCAGGACTCCAGGAATCCCCATGTTTGATGGGAAGGTTAGGTCCTAAGAAACCTCCAGGCTAATGGGGGAGAAGGCTCAGCTCCCTTTTATTGAACTCCCTAGACAGAGGGGAGATGGGCCAGCCAAGAGAGCTCTAGACTGACCCAATCCCCCACTCTCCTCCGTCACTGCAGCCCCGAGTTGGAGGCCCCCTACAGCAGAGAGGAGGAGCGACAGCGCCTGTCTGACCTGTACCACCGCTTGCACGCCCGGCTGCACAGCACCTCCCGGCCACTGCGCCTCATCTACCATGTGGCTGAGAAGGAGACCCTTCTGGCCTGGGTGAGTTGAGCAGGGCTCTGAAGTAATTGATTCCCGCACTGCAAGCCTTCTTTCCCTCCGCGGTGTCCCCTCCAGCCACAGCAGCCTCCTTCAAGCACACCACACCTTTGCCTGGGCTGGTTTTATATCCAACACTGTCCCTGTCGCTCTGCCTTTGTTTTTAAATATTACTTGGCTGTGCTGGGTCTTTGCTGTGGCATGCAGAATTTTTCTTTAGTTGTGGCCTATGGGATCTAGTTCCCTGGCCCGGGACCGAATCTGGGTCCCCAGCATGGGCAGCACAGAGTCTTAGCAGCTGGACCTCCAGGGAAGTTTCCCGCATGTCTCTGAAGCCCATCAGCCTCTGTGTCTGAAACCTCTTAGACTCATCCTCCTGTTGACCATTCCCTCATTAACCACCAGTAGAGTGCCTTCCCCTCTCAAGGGGTCCCATTAACTATGATCACTTTGCCTGTCAATTTCACATCAGCCCCGCCCTCTGTGGCCGTGGGAACCGGTTGAGCTTTGACTCTGTGTGTCCCCAGCACTTGAGCACTACACGCTTGGTTCCATTCTGTGCCCTCCACTTGGGGTATCCTTCCCTGGGGTCTCTTCAGGGCTACTGTCCACACTTCTACTAAAAGTCAGCTATGCAGGGGTTTTGGTCAATGTGACTCCATTGAGATGGCACTTCCCTTAGATTCTGACATTTAGTGCACATTTTTAAACTCATCTATTGTATGTCTGTTATGTATCAGGCATTATTCTAGGCTGAGAATTTTATTAAAATTTTTTTTTGTTTTCATTTTCAAGCAACTTTAAACTCACAAAGAAGTTGCAAAAAATTATGTGAAGTAGGTCTTTGACCTAGTTTCTCCAGATGTTAACACAATCAGAGGAACTCATCAAAATCAGGGAATTAACATCAGTGCAATCACAACTTATCCACCAGCTTCATTCAAACTTCACCAGTCGTCCCACTCATGTCCTTTCACTGGCCCAGGATCCAGTCCAGGAGCACATGTTCAGATTGATTGTGTCATCCTAGTCTCATTTATTCTGGAACATTCCCTTGGTCTTTTTTGTCTTTCACGACCTGGGAATTTTTAGAAGTACCATCCAGTTAGTTTGTAGAATGCCCATCAAGTTGTTTTCTTCTAATAATGTTGTGTCTGGTCACGCATCTTGAGCAAGCCTCTCTCAGGAGTGATGCTGTGTCCTCTGTGTCAGATCGGGAGGACCACGATATCACTGTGTCTTACTGTTGACTCGACTTCTGTTCACTTCATTAAGGTGGTATCTGCTGGGTTTCTCCACTTTGTAGTCAGCCTTTTCACCATTTGTAATTAGTCAGTCTCTTGTGGTGATTAGGTCAGTGTTCTCTTTTTCACCATATTTTCATCCACTAATTTTAATATCCATTAATGATTTTTGCCTGTGACAGCTGTTTCTCTGGCATTTACCATATGGTGATTTTTCTCATTTCATCCTAACGTCTATGTTTATTGGTCGAAATTATGCTGTATGGAAGAGCTTTCCCTGCTCCTGTTTATTTGTTGAATTTTAAATTGCATATCATGGATTTTTCTTGAATTCAGTGAGCTAGAATCTTTTCCTGTCTTTTATTTTTGTGCTCATACTCTCTCTTACTTAGTCAGTGGAAGCCCTAGATTAGAAAGACTGGCCCCTATATCTTTTTACTTTTTTTTTTCTTTAAATAAATTTTTTGACTGCTCTATGTGGGCATGTGGGATCTTTGTTCCCTGTGGTGGAGGATGAACCACTGGACAGCCACGAAGTCCTCCTCCGGTGTCTTTCTGACACATCTGTATCACTGCTTAAGTACTTCTTACTTTCTGACCTAAGATAGCCCAAGCTTATTTTGTGCTTTCTCTGTGCCTGTCCTGAAATCCACCATCTGTCCAGGGGGTCCTTGAACCTTTTAGTAGAGGATGGTATTTCAACGTCAGGATCGGGTGGTCCCAGGATTTTAAATCGGGTGGTCAGGAAATGCCATTTAAGTGCAAGGGGAGGTCACAGGGCATGTGGGTATCTCGAGGAACAGCACGCTTGGCAGAGGGAAAGGACTGTGCAAGTGCCGTGAGGCGAGGTGAGCCTGGCTGTGTCTGAGGGACAGCAGGCAGGGGCTAGAGTGGCTGGAGCAGGAGCGAGGGGGAGAATGAAGAGGGGCTGTGGAACGGTGCTGGTGACGGATCCGGTTAAGCCTCTCAGGTTGGTGTGAAGATTAAGTTGAATTAATCCTCATATTATACCCAGCCTACAGATGATAAAAACATAAATGTGTGGAACTTAAAACAGGACTTTGTATACAACAATTACTCATTAAATGTTAAGCACTGCTGTCACTGTCTCCAGTCCACAGATGAGTGAACTGAGATCCAGAGAGTGTACACACGTACACACACGCACACACACATATCACCCAGTTGAAGCCACTAGATCCAGCTGATCCCCCGGCCCAGTCATGATACAGTAGCACCCGCTTACCTGCTTTAGCCCAGTGACCAGGTTGGAGCTGCTACCAGGTGCATTTTCCAAACAGGAGGCAGGTATGGGGCTAGGGTAGGATGGACAGCACTGAGCTTGGGCAGCCCAGGACCAACTGACTATCTCTCCTCTCAACCCCGCAGGTGACCTCCAAATTTGAGCTGTATACCTGCCTCAGCCCCCTGGTGACCAAGGCAGGTGCCATCCTCGCAGTGACCAAACTCCTGCGTTGGGTGAAGAAAGAGGAGGATCGGCTCTTCATTCGTTACCCACCCAAGTACTCCACACCCCCAGCAGCCCCAGTGGCCTCCACGGACCAAGCTTCCCACAATGGCTTGTTTACTGGCCCTTGAGAGGCAGAGCTCCCAGACTGGGCAGTGTTGAGAACCACCACCTTGGGCTTTTACCTTCTGTCTTCACCCTGGAAATGGGGCAGGGTTGGGGGGTTGGTGGCGGTAGTATGTCTGTGTGTGCTCATTCAGTCACGTCCAATTCTTTTGCAACCCCACAGACGGTAGCCCACCAGGCTCCTCTGTCCATGGTGTTTCCCAGGCAAGAATACCCGGGTGGGTTGCGTGTCCTGTGGCTGGTCCCTATCTCCCTGGGCAGTGCAGCAGGATCTGGGGGGCTGCCTACCAAAGACACATGGGTGGCAGTGTGATTGCACACAGGTGAGCAGGCTGCCTCCCCAGCCCCCTCGTGCCCCTCCACCTCTGGGGAAATCCTTAAGACTCCGTCTCCCCCTCCCTCTGCCTTCATCTCCTCCACCTGGATGGTGTTCCCGCCTCTGTCAGGGACCGTCTCCTCCTTTCCTGGACGTCACATGCTCAGTCCTGCGTCGGGGGCCTGTCTCCTCCCTGGGATCTCAGCCCAGAGTGTCTAGCGCTGGCCAAGGTCTCCCTTGGTGGCCCACGGCAGTTCTGGAATTGGAAATGTAGGACCAAGTCTGTGCCCTGAAATGGCCTGAGGATATTTTAAAAGAAAAGAGAACTGCACATAAAAGGCCTAAAACCGATATCCACAAGGACATTCCTTTGCCCTTCATGTGCTTCATCTTTACCCAGTAAAAAATGACCCCATCAGTGCTGGCTGCTGCTAATATTAATAAGAAGGTGACCTCCAGCGTCTACCTGGCTATGTAACCCGGGGCAAAGTACCTGACTTCACACAGTGACTGAGATCCAGAATTTTTACGTAGATTCACTTAGCTTCCACGGCCCATTCTATTCATTCATGAGCTGGAGATAACTAACCGCTCATAAGCTGTTAAATGAGGATTTGTGAACGAAAGGGGACTGCACCACTTGCCTACCACCGCCCAGCACCTGCACAGTCGTCCCAGACTTTCACAAGGCACACAACCCAAGCGAAGATGAGAGGGAGACCGCAAGACCTGCCTGTAATTTCTATGTGTGTGTGCAACACTCAGCACCCCAACAACCAGGACCGTAGTCCTGCCTCGGGTTTCGCTAAGCTGGAGCTTGGAGCCTCGGGCTACACGCGTGCGCGCTGTCGCTCGGAGATCTCTGGGTGGCCCGCTTCGCGGAGCTGATCACCCGTCGCCCTTCAACTGATGCGTCAACCGATGCGCAGAGACGCACCGGACGCATGCGCACTGGACGCGTGCATGCCCTACCGCCTTTCTGCCCTCGCGTGGTATTGTTTTTCTTTTTTTTAAACCAATCACCAAAGCGCACGCGTATCAGCTGCGTGCTGGAAAATGGCCGGGAAGCTGGAGCCTCGGGAAGTGAAGTCGCAGGAAGTCGTGGAGGACGGTGAAGGTAGTGAGGGCAAGGGGCCTCTGGCATCCAGCGTCGAAGGGAGGGAACCTTCGTCCCCTTGCCCTAGTGCAGCGCGTAGTCACTCCGTCGCGTCCCGAGTTTGCAACCCCATGGACTGTAGCCCTCCAGACTCCTTCGTTCAGGGGATTTCCAGGCAAGAATACTGGAGTGGGTTGTCTTCTCTAAGGGATCGTCCCAACTCAGGGAGGAAACGGGGATCTGCATTGCAGGTGAATGCTTTGCCGCCTGAGCCACCAGGGAAGCCCATTGTCTCCTTACAACAATGAAATACTGGTACCAGTACTACAAAAAAAAATTAAAAACTGCTTTACCGCAAAGTGGAGATAAATAACGTGTAGCCTCAGCATCTAGGTTAACTTGTCAATTTTATTGGTTATACGTGTGTTAAATAGATCGAACACCTCAGTATTCATCTTTTCAAACAAGGGGCGGATGATCTCACAAAACCCACTCAACTGCTGCCATATCTAAGAAAACTTAACAGTAATTCCAATATCATCATTCCACACCCTCCCAGCACATGCCACACTTTGCATGGACTCTTAAATCTTAATCGTGGATGGCCACTTTAAAGAGAGCTGCTTTTCTCCCGGGCATTTTGTTAATAATGACGCCACCACCCAAGTGAGGGGAAAGACAAAATTGTTCTAGAGGGAGTTGGAAATTGCAGTCTAGGCAAAAGAAGAAAATTGTCTAAGAACTGCACATAAAAGGCCTAAAACCGATATCCACAAGGACATTCCTTTGCCCTTCATGTGCTTCATCTTTACCCAGTAAAAAATGACCCCATCAGTGCTGGCTGCTGCTAATATTAATAAGAAGGTGACCTCCAGCGTCTACCTGCCTATGTAACCCGGGGCAAAGTACCTGACTTCACACAGTGACTGAGATCCAGAATTTTTACGTAGATTCACTTAGCTTCCACGGCCCATTCTATTCATTCATGAGCTGGAGATAACTAACCGCTCATAAGCTGTTAAATGAGGATTTGTGAACGAAAGGGGACTGCACCACTTGCCTACCACCGCCCAGCACCTGCACAGTCGTCCCAGACTTTCACAAGGCACACAACCCAAGCGAAGATGAGAGGGAGACCGCAAGACCTGCCTGTAATTTCTATGTGTGTGTGCAACACTCAGCACCCCAACAACCAGGACCGTAGTCCTGCCTCGGGTTTCGCTAAGCTGGAGCTTGGAGCCTCGGGCTGCACGCGTGCGCGCTGTCGCTCGGAGATCTCTGGGTGGCCCGCTTCGCGGAGCTGATCACCCGTCGCTCTTCAACTGATGCGTCAACCGATGCGCAGAGACGCACCGGACGCATGCGCACTGGACGCGTGCATGCCCTACCGCCTTTCTGCCCTCGCGTGGTATTGTTTTTCTTTTTTTTAAACCAATCACCAAAGCGCACGCGTATCAGCTGCGTGCTGGAAAATGGCCGGGAAGCTGGAGCCTCGGGAAGTGAAGTCGCAGGAAGTCGTGGAGGACGGTGAAGGTAGTGAGGGCAAGGGGCCTCTGGCATCCAGCGTCGAAGGGAGGGAACCTTCGTCCCCTTGCCCTAGTGCAGCGCGTAGTCACTCCGTCGCGTCCCGAGTTTGCAACCCCATGGACTGTAGCCCTCCAGACTCCTTCGTTCAGGGGATTTCCAGGCAAGAATACTGGAGTGGGTTGTCTTCTCTAAGGGATCGTCCCAACTCAGGGAGGAAACGGGGATCTGCATTGCAGGTGAATGCTTTGCCGCCTGAGCCACCAGGGAAGCCCATTGTCTCCTTACAACAATGAAATACTGGTACCAGTACTACAAAAAAAAATTAAAAACTGCTTTACCGCAAAGTGGAGATAAATAACGTGTAGCCTCAGCATCTAGGTTAACTTGTCAATTTTATTGGTTATACGTGTGTTAAATAGATCGAATACCTCAGTATTCATCTTTTCAAACAAGGGGCGGATGATCTCACAAAACCCACTCAACTGCTGCCATATCTAAGAAAACTTAACAGTAATTCCAATATCATCATTTCACACCCTCCCAGCACATGCCACACTTTGCATGGACTCTTAAATCTTAATCGTGGATGGCCACTTTAAAGAGAGCTGCTTTTCTCCCGGGCATTTTGTTAATAATGACGCCACCACCCAAGTGAGGGGAAAGACAAAATTGTTCTAGAGGGAGTTGGAAATTGCAGTCTAGGCAAAAGAAGAAAATTGTCTGAGACAGTGGTCCCCCACTATGCCACTAGCACTTTTTTTTAACTATAAACATTTTCAAAATGTACCTAAGCACAGAAAATGTAATGAATGCCCATGTACCAGTCACTGTGTATTAACAGTTGTCAACTCTTTGCCCTCCTTTCATCTATCTCTGACCTTCCTACACACTCTTTAGACCACCTTACTGATAATAAATACTTTGGATTACATCTTTCCAAACATATCTGTGCAGATGACAACAATGATTATGTACTTGAATATTGTCTGTCCTAGGATGTGAGCTTTTTGAGAATAGACCATTCATTACCATCTCCCCAGCACCTAAAACTGCCTACTTGGGAAAAGTAGGTGCTCAGTAATTTTCTTTTTTTATTGTATGAATAATGAAATAACACTGAGAGTTCTCTTAGATTATGGCCTCATGTTGAGTGCAAGCTTTCAATAAGAAGATGCCAATAAATTGCCCTTATTAAGCACAGTATAGCTGCCACTGTGGAGGAGAAAAACCCTAGTATTATTTTTTAAAAGAGGAAGTTATGATTAACTTCACCAGCAATGGAGAAAATTGAAAAGCATATCAAGTTGCCATTTCTAAACCATCCAAATTGGCTTTAGAACAGGAAAAATATCTGCTACTGATTACTCTGGCAGAACAGGACTTCTTTTGCCTTGATAGTAGAAGTGGCCAGCAAAGGCTTTGCTGGAGGCAGTTTGTCAGAATACGCAAAGCATCTAAAACGCTATTTCTGATCTTTGGTTGCCATGATTGAGAATCATGGAATATACAGATGTGTGGACTAGGCAGGGTCATTGGAATGTTGATGGCAGCAAAATGCAGAAACAATCATGGAAATGGCTAACTTTAAGTATACTCACACATTATGGAATGCCTATGTAGTGGACATCTTTTTTTTAAGAGGCAGGAAAAAATAAATTTCAATTTGATTCATTACAGTTAATTTTGAAAGGAGATTATATGAATTCCCTGACAGTCCAGTGAATTAGGACTCAGCACTTTAACTGTTGTGGCTACGGTTCAGTCCTTAGTTGGGGAACTAAGATTATGCAAGCCGTGCAGCACGGCCAAAAAAAAAAAAAAAAAGGCGAANCATTAACACAGAGTAAGCTTCATAGGGATCATATTCTTATGAGGGAAAGCAAGTTGGAATTAAGAAAAAGAGGCAGTTCAGTTATACAATTATAGCTCTATGTGTGTTACATAGAAAAATGTCTGAAGGCTAAAGGCCTAACTGGTGACTCTGAACAAGGGACTTGAATTTTGGAGGTTGTACAGAAGTGAGAGCATTTTTTTAAATTTTAAAGGAAAATGCCAGTAGTACTGAATAAATTTAAAATATAAGAGGAAAAACTGTTGAATGGCATCTGGGGATTGTACATTAATATTGGTCAAGTTATTAACATCTCTATTTTGATGGTTATACTGGTAGAGTTCCCTTATAAATTAGAAATATGTACTGGAATATTAATAAATAGTGGGTTATGATGCCTGCAATTTGTGTGCAGAAATGCTCCCAAATGTGGAATCTGATACAGGGGCAGATAGCACTGTGGCCTATTTCTGCAGTTTTCATGTACGTCTGAAATTATTTCAAAATAAAAGTTTTCAAAGGGGCTCATACTCCATAGGCTATTTTGTTTTGTCACATTGATTTTTTAAAATTTTTGTCAAGATGTTACTTGAACTATTTAAAAGATTTACCGATCACTCATGATCTTACTACATGACTAGGATTTACCGATCACTCATGATCTTACGGCGTGACTAGGACTAGAAATGCAGTCGAGAGGAAAAATGGAGCTTTCCCAGAAATGGTTGAACAAGCCAGCTGTGAGAGACATATTCGGACAATCATGGGAAACCACATGTGTTGTGGGTATTTGGTGATATAAATGATCCAGTGATTAGTGATGTATCTTGGTGAGACTCTAGAACTGCAGTCATCTAAGAAAATGTCTTCTAGTAGTTGAGACTGTTTTTTTGAGACTCTTAATTAATTTCATCTAGGGATGAAATGTCATGAAGTCTGGGACCTACTTGAAAATATTTCAGCACACACACAATAGCTGAAGCAAATATCAGTGGATATTAATGATTGTTAGATCTGGGCAATGAGTAAACCAGAGTTCATCATGGTATCCTATCTAATTTCATGTGCATTTGGAAATCCTCATAATACTAAAAACAAGTAATCACAAACACCTCCCTTTATTATTAAAGTAGATTTAATTTTTTTGTTGTTGTTTTATTCCAAATACTAAGAGTATTTGAAGAACTTAAGAGTATCCAGAGGAGACATACCAACCAGTGAAACCAGAGAAAGACAATAAGATTTAGAGCTAAGAAGAGAAAGGAGTTGCATTTAATTTCACATATTTCTGTAGTGCTTGAATGTTTTTAGAATGTCATTTGGGTAAGTGAAAATTAAAGCAATAGATGCAATAGTTCTTACCAAGCTCTAAGTGTCTTCCCCAAACTTGGAGTGACTTGGATAAGGGACTGTTGGTGAGAGGAGACTTTTACTTTTTACTCCTTGTTCTTCTTCAGTTGTTTATTAAGTAATTTAAAAATTCAAATGCAAAATTAAATGAATACATCTAATATAAGGAAAAAGGATGTAAAGAAAGTGAACATGATACCAAATATTTCAGCAAAATTTAATAAGCTCAGGTTAACAGCCCCTGATTTACAGCATGAGTTTTAATGGCTGCAAAGAATTTTAGCCTATGAAGGTGCTGTAATCAACTAAGGTATCTTTAAGTTGCCTCCATATTTTAAGATTATGGACAATGAAACAGTCTTGCCCACCATCCTTAATTATTTCCTAAAATTATTTCCTTGCCTTGAGGTGGAATTTCTGATCCAGAGGAGTTGAGTAAGTTTTTGATGTTTACTACCAGAAAGTTTGAAATGAAATACTGTTTTTGCCTATACAATTGGCAAAAGTGACAAAGGTTGAAAAAATATTTGAATGATAAGAGTGTGAGGAAGGAGTCTTCATGGGCCTCTAGGGGGAGGGCAACTTTAAAATACCAGATTTAGTAACATACATGCCCCTTGATCCATCCAGTAGTCTTCTAGGAATTCATTCAGTAACATTCCCATGCATGCATAAAGAAGAATGTACCAGGATCTTACATTAGATTGAAATGTGTCCCCTTAAAATTCATGTCCACTCGAACTTCAATATGTGACCTTATTTGGAAACAAGAGTTTTTGAGACTGTGTTAAGCATCGTGCAGAATAAGGGTGTACCCTAATCTAATAACTGGTGTCAGTATAAGAAGAGGGAAATTTGGGCATACAAAGATAGAATTTAAGGTGAAAGACACAAAAGAAAGACCCACGTAGAGGTACTGTTATGGCTTCTCAAGAAAACTAACACAGATAGTCACTGTGGCATTATTTGTAACAGCAAAAGCAGCGACCTAAGTGTCCATCAATAGGGGACAACTTTAAAAGATCATTAGTATATATATTATCAAATGGAAAAATGCAGGGACTTCTCTGGCGGTCTACTGGCTAAGTCTGCATGTTCCCAACGCAGGGGGCCCAGGTTCAGTCGATCCCTAGACAGGGAACTAGATCCCATGTGCCGCAGCTAAGAGTTGACATTGCTGCAACTGAAGATCCTGCATGCCACAACTTAAAAAGCAGATGCCACATGCCATAACTAAAGATCGCAAATGCTGCAATGAAGATTGAAGATCCTGCGTGCCACAAGAACCGATGCAGTCAAACAAGTAAATATTTTTTAAATAAAAAGGAAAGATATAAACTGTGAAATGCCATTTAGGACATGACACCATCTTTATCAGAAAAGTGGGCATATGCTTGTATGTGATTTGAATGAGTATACACAAATAGCCTGTCATGCAGGTGGCCTTGCAGAGGGTAACTGAGAAACTTAGGTCTTGAGGGAGGGACTTTGCACTGTATACCAAAGTGGGTAAGCATTTCTTCATTTACTCTTTGGCTATCATATGTGTTTTGTGAGCTTCTTTTCATCTTCTCTGCTTAATTTTTCTTGGAGAGCAAACAATGAGTCACTGGGAGTTGCCCCTTTGTCACTGATTTTACAACAGTTAAAGATGTTGGTATTTTTGCTCTTTTTGTTGTTATAAGTAACACAGGCTCACTTTAAAAAGTACCTAGAAATATATGTGGCAAAATTACGTTTGAATCAAGACCTAAATAAAGTCTGTTTTCATTAGAGTTGATTGCTATATGTCTCATCTCTTAATCTATAGTTTCCTCTTCCCCTCTTTTCCTTCTTTGCAGTTTATTTGTTGAAGAAACCAGGTTGTCCTGGGTGTGGAATTTCCCAGCATCTGGATGATGCTGACTTCATCCCCATTGTGTCATTTAACATGTTTTCCTATTCCTCATATTTCCTCTGAATTGGTATTTAGAAATGGAAACCTGATAGTATTCCTTTTTCTTTTTTCTTGGTTGGGGTCGGGGACAGGGAGCAGAGTCCTTCACACAGTGGTGTTGTGTTGTTTCATCAGGAGGCTCACAATATCCAGGTATCTTTTGTGGATGTTAGCAGCCATGTCCTAAACCCATTGCTTCTTTCAGAATTTGCAAATTGTGGCCTACAGTTATTGGAAAGAAATTCATATGAAATCATTCTGTCCTGTCGCATTGCTTGCAACTTCATGCTGGTTGAGAACAACAGCAACAAAAGTGCCTCATCTTCTCTCACCCCTGAGTTTTGCTAAGGGTGGTGTTCCGTGACCTCCTGGGGAGAACGGACCAGTAGAGGTTCTGATTCACCCACCGCACTCCCTCAGCCTCAGAAACAAAAGACAGGGGTCCTGGAGGGACCCTGCTCTGGCTGGAGGGCTGCCCCTTGGCCGAGCCTTGGTTCAGCCAGGGGTATTCTCAGAACCTGCTGAGACTTTCTTCCTCCCTTCCCAGACAAGTGTGGCCGTTTCCTCAGTCGCCTGTCACTCTCACTGCACGCTGTAATTCTGGTTTTCATTCTACAGGTCAGACCGAGTCTTCAGAAAAGACCAAAGACTTGCTGGAAATGGTGAAAAAGCTGCAGAAAGGTCATGTGTCTCCTTGTGTCTGAGGCTTAGCCCAAAGAGGTTTTAAGACAGGAAGATGTGGTCCAATCTCCAACCCCTCAACTCACAACCTTGGGAAATTATCCCATTGCACTTTCTCCCTCTTATACCGCTTCTTTCAACCTAAAGCACAGCTTCGAAATTCAAGACATATAAGCTACTCCCCAACACACAAATGCATGTGTGCACACACACACACACACACACACACACAGCCACCCATTTCCCTGACCCATAGGCCAGCAGCAACTATTTTTAAATTCTCTGGTATTTTTCTGGAGATTTAAAAAAATTCCATTTTGGGTGTATATTCTTTGTCCTTTTTTATATGCAAATGGAAGCTGGCAGCACAAACAGCTTTGCACCTGGCTTTGCTTGTTGATGGGAGACTGGGAGCCAGCCTGCATCCAGTACCTACATCAGGGCTGGGGCAGAGTACTGGCTGGGTTTGAGGTTGGATCTCCCTTTCCCCTCGTCCATCAGCAGCTTAAAATACTACAATCCACTGGTCTGTTCCAAATAAATGAACACCTTCCGTGCCCTGACTGTGGCTACAGCATTGCAGCTGCTGCCCAGGCTAAAATTAGGTAGAGGAATTGGGGATTGAAAATGCAGAGTGACCCTAACCATCCCCGGTAAAACGAAGACCTTGGGGAGTCACGTCCTAATCAGCACCTCAGAGAGCACTCAGTCTCTAAGAAGTCACAGGAGCTGGGGATGGTGGCCTCCAAAAAATCCAGAAACTGAACTTCAGGATGTCTTGGGGTGGTAGTGACACCAGCAAAGGTTGGGCAGATTTTCCCCTTAATTCTGTGCTTTCAACCTTGAAGCCAGAGAGGACGAGGAGGGCTTCCACATTCGGAGCACTGAAATTTGGACTGTGCGAAGTTAGAGGTGACTCCCTAAAGAGACAGTGATCTCCCTGTCATCAGAGAATTTGATAGCTGTCAAAATGCAAGTGGCATCTTCCTCATATTTCAGCATCAGAGTCCAGATACGCAGAAGCGACAACCCACCCTGCTAGGCTTTCCATGTGGTGGGGCATTAGTTTTCAGGAGGTGTCCACTGTCTCCCACCTCATTCAGAATTACACACACAAGCTTCTGCCATGGCCCAGAAGGCCCTGAACCATCTGCTGCCCCCACGTCTCCACCTTGCCTCCTGTTACCTGTCCGCTCGCTCACTAGACTCATACCAGCCATCCCAGACCCCTTGGCGTATGTTGTAGGCCTATGTCTCAGTCACTGCAGGGGCTCTGCATACATGGTCTTTCTGGCTGGCATGTTCCCCCCTCCACACTCCCTACGCCCCGCACCCCAGAACCACAGGGTTCCTTCCTCCACATCATTTGGGGCCTCTCCATATCTCAAGAGGCATCTTCTTTCACTCTTCAGCCCTTTGTTCCACTTTATTTCCTTTCGCAGCATCCACTGCCACCAGCATTGACATCTCGAATCTTTGCTCAGTGTCCATCTCTCCCACCCAGAACGCAGGCCCTGCAAGGGTTTCTCTCGTGTGCTCCGTAAATGCTGATCAACAGCAGCAGAGACACAGTGCCAACACCCACCCCACTCCTTCTGCCCAGGACAGCCAGGCACCTGCCGTCTGTGGCTCAGTCTTTCTTTCCTTCTGCAGAAGGAAGCCTGGAGCCACAGATTGAAGACCTGATTAACCGGATTCATGAGCTTCAGCAAGGTAAACTCCGGGATCTAAGATGGCCCGCTGGCCAAGAGGGGCATGGGCTGGGGAAGCCTCCACTGCATCACCTGTAAGATCCAGGCCCCTCTGGATTGTCTGAAGGTGGGTATGCCGTGTCCCGGTCTGCGGGAGAATACAGCAAGGCTGGAGGCCACCCTCACACCCTGTCTTCCTCCTTTCTCTCCGGCCCAGCGAAGGAGAAATCCAGTGAGGAACTGGGAGAAGTCCAAGCTCTTTGGGAGGCCCTACGTCAGGACCTGGACTCCTGTAAGTGAGACCAGCAGAAGGGCGCAGAGAGCTCGTGGCCAGTGCTGACCTCAGGGTCTTTGCACAGGCTGCTCCTCACCCTGAGGCTTTCGTCCTACATAACCCACATTGCCTCGCGCTGGTTTGAGTCACCTTTCAAGTTCTCAGTTGAAACTTCACCCCAACAGGTCTCCCTTGACAGCCCCCTCTAAACATCGAATACCACCTCATCTCATACACCCCCCACAGCTTGATTTATTTCTTCACAGCCTTTATTCCCACTTATCATGGTGTACTTTTGCAATTTCTCATCCTCTCCACATTCTATTGTGCACATGCCACACAAGGGAGCCCTGCAGTCCTTCACCCCTTCACAGGGCGTGTGGACTCCCAGGGGGGAAGCTGGACCAAGATGGTCCCCAGCGGGAGGTGGGTGCAGGGCCTGCGAGCAGACACTGCCCTCCCCTGAGGGGGCTGGACCTTCTGTGTGACCTGGGGCCTTCCCCTGCATGAAGGTGCAGTCTGGGCAGAGGATGAGGCCCCGGAGACTCAGAGTGTCCCTGTGTTTTCCAGTGAGTGGAGAGAAAGTGCACCTGGAGGAGGTTCTGAGCAGAAAGCAAGGTATTTACCAGCTGCTTCATCCTCATCATTCTACCTGGTCCCCCTACAAAAGCCTGAAGTTCTCAGGCAGCCAGAGGAATCCCCCTGAGATCAGAGGTGGGGTGCTTCCCTCTCTGCTCAGATCTGCCCCTCAGCCGCCGTCTGACTTGGAGTAAACACTGAAGTCCCCTCAGTGCCCCCAATGCCCAGCGTGCTGTGAGGCCCCTTCTGCCCCTTCTGACTTCTCAGAGCCCCCTGGTCCCTCTCCCCCCAGAGGCCCTGAGGACCCTCCAGCTGCATTGCCAAAGGAAGGCGGAGGAGGCACAGAGGTAAGAGGTCCCGCCCAGCTCTCCCTGCCTCATTTCCCAGCCTGAGGGAGGAGGGGGCAAGAGCTAGGGAAAAGAAATCTTGGACACACACTCATTTTCCCTTTGTATAAAATCGAGTGAGCCTTGCCTGCTCATCTCTGATAAGTGGTGGCGTTAAGATGAACTCATTTAATCATTCATTGCTAGTTTATTAAGTGGATACTAAATTCCATCCACTGGTATTATTTTAGGTCTTCTTCTATGGTTTATCCAGCTCTTCTGCCATCCTTTCATTTGTTTATCTGTCTGCTCATGTATGCCCCCAGGCACCCATTTACACACCCATCCATCTACCGACCCATCCATCCACTCTCCCATACATCCAACCAACTATCCAACTCTTCAGCCAGCCAGATAGCCATTAATCTCTCCAGCCTTTCATCTAATCATCTTTCATCCATCCAACTATTCTTTTCTCCACCTTTCCAGTCATCCATGTAGGCATTCATTTCTTTACCCAGCCATCTATCCATCCAGCTATCCATCCTTCTGTCAGTCTTTCCTATATTTCTGCATCCATCCATTATCCTTCCACTCATCATTTCTCTAACCAGACATCATCTCTGCAGCCTATCACTCACCTATTCAATTTGCTGTCCAGCCATCTATCCATCTATCTCTCCATCCTTTGAACCTTTGCTTAACACATTCTTGTGACCAGGGGTCTCACACCCTCGGGCATCAAGATTTTAATAACATGGGAAAACCTGACGACAGATAGTTAAAGTGTATATATGCTTAATCACACCACACCTACCACTGTCTGAGGAGCAGATAGTGTTCAGTTATCAACCAGTGCTCACAATGACAGTCCCACCATTTTACATGTGAGGAAACAGACCCACAGAGGCTGAATAACTTGTATAAGATTATAGTGGAATAGCAGATCCAGGCTTCAACCCTGGACTTTAGAATGTGTGAAACTAAACCAATGTACCCTTCACAGGGATTTCTTGGAAAGGCACGGTTTGATGGGAGACAGAATGGACAGGGTAAGAGTGTCAAGAAAGGCTTACAAGGTTCCCATTTGATTTAAAAAAAGGAGAATGATAAAGGTTCTGAACAGACTCCCAACCCCTCTCCGGATAGAAGGCTCAAACAGAGACTGTAACTGAGGGTTTTCTTTCCTTTCCCAGGAACTACGTGTTGGCAGAACACACAGAGCAAATTTCTATCCAGAACTCTCAGGTCACAGAGAATCAAGGACAGAGCAAGCTGGGGTAACCCTGGGGTGACCCTGGGTCTAGTGCTTGGAGTGGCCTGGTGTGGGGGATGGGAGTGGGGCTTGCCTGAGGGAGAGCTTGTTGGAAGGCAAGCTTGTTGCAAGGCTGGCTGTTGGAAGCAAGGCTTGGAGGATAAAACCCTTGAAGGGGCTCCTAGCAGAGGGAGCCCCAGGCCCAGATCTGAAGCGGCAGTGGGGGTTGGTCAGTCCTACCCTGTGTTTGCTTATTCTTGGATGTCGGCCCCTAGGTTGCCCATGGAAGAACAGCTGGAGGACTTGATAGGCCCGCACAAGGACCTCTGGGAATTCCACGTGAGCCATTATCATTGCCTCTGTTGGAGTCCCTCCTCCCCTGGCTCGAGCATCTCTGCTGCTCAGGCCCAATGCCAAGGGGTGGTCCTCGACTCCTGTCTTCCTGTCACCCGCTCAGCTCAGCCCACCCAGCCACCTCTCACCAACCCCCGCTGCCGCACTCAGCCTCCGTTGCCCAGACTGTTGCCCTGGCCTTTGCTAACCTCGCACCCCTCCTGCTTGCCTAGAGTGCTCATCCTGCAGTGGCAAATGGGAACCCCGATCCAGACACGGCCAGGTCATCCCTTCGTTCAGCCAGTGTCTCTGGATGTGTCCAGCGGCACTCCAGAGGGGCCAAGTCTTTGCGGTCCCCAAGCTGGTTAAGGGCACGGGGAGGCATGCCCAGAGTCTAAAACAAGAAAACAAGTCGATAGATCCAGTAATGCCAGTGGGGAAGTCCTCTGTGAGCAGGTGTCATCTGAACACAGACATGTATTAATAAGCGAGGAAGCCATGCAGGTGTCAGAGAGCAAATGTCCCTGGGAGGCAACCATGCCTGGTGTATTTGAGGAAGAGCAAACCGTGGGGCTGGAGGATGAAAGAGTGGGAAGAGGTGAGGTTTAAGAGGCACACGGGGACCTGGGGAGTGACTGAGGGGGAGAGGGCCTCTACCCGAGCCACCCCCGGCCCCAGCAGAAGCTGCAAACAGAATGAATGGGTAGCTGAATGAAGGCATGAACCCACTAATTCGGATGAGGACTTTCCGAGAGGCGCGGAGGAGGAGGGGGCCAGGAGGAGAGCTGCAGGGACAGGGCTCCTCTCTCTCCTCGCAGATGCTGAAGCGGCGACTGGCCTGGGAGATCCGTGCCCTGCAGAGCAGCCAGGAGCAGCTGCTCACCGAAGGTGGGACCTGGGCCCGGGGCGGGGGCGGGGCCGGGGCGGCCCGCGGGAGCCCTGGCACCAACCACGACGCCCCGCCCGCCCCCAGAGAGGCAGGCGCTGGCCCGGCTGGAGGACGTGGAGCGGCGGCTGCTCCTGCCGCCCGAGGCCCCCGGCGCCCGGGCGGTGATCGGCGGGTGAGAGGGCCAGGGAGGCGGGGAGGGGCCGAGGCCCGCCTCCAGCGCCGTCTCCCGGGAGGGCGGGGCTCCCCCGCACCCGGGCCTCCCGGCGGGCTCCCGGGGGTCCTCAGCGCCCCTTCCCCGCAGGCTGAAGGCGGAGCCAGAGAAACTCGGGGGAGAGGCCCCCGCCCAGACCCAGAGCACCCCAGAGGACCGGGCCGGCGCTGAAGAGGTAGAGAGCCGGCAGACGCGCCCGGGGTCCCTGCGGGAGGCGCGAGTGCGGACGCAGGGCGTCCTCGGGGATGGGGACCGGGCCCGCCCCAGCAGGCCTGGCCCCGCTCCCCCTCCCAGCAGGCCTGACTACCGGCCCCCGCCCCAGCAGGTCGGCCCCCAGCTCCCCAGTGAGGGCGACCTGGCGCCGCCGACGGAGCTGGTCCCGACGCCCCACCCGGCCCCACCTTCCTTCAAGCTCGCCAGGGAATAAAGGCCACGTTTGCGGACCGTGCTCCTCCTCCGCGGGCTCAGTCTGTGCTCCGGGGTCTTTGAGGGTCGGGGTCGGGGTCGGGATCGTGAACCCCTCCTCTCTCCGCCGGAGGGGATGGGGCGGCCAGGCAGCCTGGGCGGGGCCTCGACGGACTCCACCCACCAGCCCCGTGGCGGGCTCGGGCCGCCTCAGCGTCCGCCTGAGTGTCGAGGCCACTCCATTTCCATGGCCTCATCACGGATTCCTGAATTTTACCCGTAAGGGCTAAGATGTGTGCTCAGTCATGTCCGACTCTGCAACCCCATGTGCTGGAGCCTACCAGGCTCCTCTGTCCATGGGGTTTTCCAGGCAAACCAGGGGATCTTCCCCACCCAGGGATCCAGGGAGTCTTGTGCAGCGGTGGGATTCTTTACCACTGCGCCATGTGGGGGGTTCAGAGCACAATCCCAGCCTGCAGAGCCGCTGCATTCCCCCGCAGCTTCCTCCCGGGCCTCACCTCTCACTTCCCTCATATGTGCACTTCTAGCCGCAAAGATGATTTTCCACCCTTCTCCCAGCACTTTGTCATCTCAGGGCCTCTGCCCTGCTGTGTCCTCGTCTGGGGTGTCCTTTCCGCAGTCTTCTCAGACCGCAGAGCCCGTTAAGGATATCAGCTGCTCAGGAGGCTGGCCTCGGGGACCCAGTTGCTACTTACCAAGCACGTGTGGGTTTAATAAGCATTTGCTAAACATCTGCTTGTGCACCAGGCACTGCTGTAGGCCCTGGATTTTAAATAGCAGGTAGGGGAAGATCTCAGTGAGGAAGTGGGCCAGATGAGGGAGGGTGCCCTGGGCAGCAAGGACTGCGTGCGCACGGCTGAGTGTTTGGGGGGAGTGGGGGATGGTAGCTGAGTTTGCTCTGTTGGAGGAACATCTGGAGGAGGCCAGTGTGGTGACGCAGAGGGATGGGAGATAATGTCAGAGAATCCCTGGGAGCCAGTTCAGATGGCTGTCATCGCTCTAGTCTGTTCTGAGCACAAGACCTGGTGCCCAGCAAACGCCAGTAAATGTTGGTGATCACTTATGACGATGATGAATCGTTATGAACCTATGTCACACAAGTGGGGACAAAATGGTGATAAACCTGGGCACCTCCTCCTTCCAAAATCTCCCCTGAACCCTTAGTTAAGCGAAATTGCCCCTCGTGTGAATACAGTGCCATACACGGAGATGGTTGGTCCGTGGGACTTCCTCTCTCAGATTGAACTCTGAAAGCGGAGACTCACTCGACCCAACTGGAGGAAACTCACATCTCAAAAGGCACAGAGAAAAATTCAAGTCCCACCACAAATGGCTTTTGTTTGCTAAGTTCAAAGATTTTGTAAATATCTGCAAGGTTTCTGAGATCAATAGGGAATGTTTGGGACTTGGTAAAAAATAATAGGTGGGCTTTGAATTGTTTCTGGAGCCACATGTCTGATGTTGTGAAGACCAGATTTGTAAGAAAAGTACAATTTTTAATTCCTCAAAGGATTGGGCCCACCTGAATGATATGGAAATTGCCCTCCTCACCCAACTACATTATCCTCAGTTTGCTTCTTTATATCAGGGAGAAGATTTTCAACTAAGATGGAAGTCAGAAGATTCCCTTGTCCTAGATTTAGAGCTATGTGTTGTGGGAATGTTTTAGTAACCCTTCCACGAAGGCTTCAGAAGGTTTTTCCCTGCTCTGGGTATATGGTTTCATTTTAGCTTAAAGGAGAAAGCCTTGGGGAAAAAAAACTCATGTCAGGTTCTGAATATCAGCTTCCACCGTGGTCAACTTCTGACCATTCTTTAAAAAGAATTCTTTCAAATACCTTGTCAGATTTCAGCTGAGACAAAAAGCAAATATTCTTGGCAGTATTGCACAGTTGCTTGGATATGTAGGGTTGTAAAATTTTCCACCTTCTTCCCTTCTAGGTTCTTTGGCTAGCCTAATAATTAAATTGATGTGAGAGAATAATGGGAGAAACACATTTATGGAGCCCCATAAAGATATGAAATCTTAAAAGACAGACAGGTAACAACATCCTATGTAACACCAGAGCTAAGGAGAGGGGTAGGGGTCTGATGATACAAAGGGGAGGAAGGTAATTCACAGGAAAGCAGAGATATTGCAAAAACAAAAATTACCTGGTTAGCACGTAAGTTTCTTAGGTAAAACTGAAACCACACACCTCAGATGAAACTCAGACCCAGCCGAAACTCAGATTAGGTCTTGAGACTGCAGGCTAGGACTCAAACCCACTGTCTTTCAATTGAAATCCCACACCTGTCTTAAGACAACCTCGAGTTCTTCATGTCTCATTGCTGAAAGAATTCAATGAGAGGCAAAATGATAGATAAGAAATGAATTTATTTAGAGAGATACACATTCCACAGACAGAATGTAGTCTATCTCAAAGGTCGAGAGTGGCCCCGAAATACGGGGTGGTTAGTTTCTGTGGTCTGGGTAATTTCATAGGCTAATACGTGGGAGGATTATTCCAACAGTTTGGGGGAAGGGACGAGGATTTCCAGGAATTGGGCCACCACTCTTTGGCTTTTTATGATCGGCGTCCGAATGGTCATGGGACCTGTGGCTGTATCATTCAGCATATGCTGATATTTACAATGAACACATAATGAGGCTCAAAGTCCGCTGAAAGTCACATCTTCCACCATCTTGTACCTCACTGGTTCTGAACAGTTTATGTTGTATCCTCACCAGCTTTGTCATTCTTTTGAAAGTTGTTCCCAGCCCCTTCCCTCCTGTTTCAAGATGCCATCTTTGATAATGCTTTTCTTTGTGGTACAGGCCTTCTTTCCAGTGTAAATTAGGCAGTGGAAGGGAAGGTAAAGAGCTTTTCCTGAGTCTACTGAGTTCTTGGTTGCCTTTAGCTAAATAATCTTCATGTGTAACTGGCATATTTTGGGGTGGCAAAGTCCATTCCCCTTCAGCTGCAAGAGACACCCCTAAGGAGAGTGCAGAAGATACCATCCTCCCAAGACCCAAATCATTCCCAAAACACAGCTGAGAGATGCAGACAGTTGCCTTGAAAGCTGGCAACGATCAGTAGAACTTTAGTTGTCACTGGCGTTTCTTTCTGCATTTCTACCCTTCATTTCTTCCTGGTCACATCTTGGGGCCCCCTTAGCTTTGATTGTTCCAATGTCTCAGGACACAAAATCAGACAAACAAGAAAAGCAAAAGCTGTTCTGGGAGAGAAAGGTTCAACAACCAATGGGTAGTAACAAAATGAAGGATAAAAATCATGATCATTTCAATAGACACAGAGAAGGCACTTGAAAATTTCAACATCCATTTATGATAAAAATTCTCAACAGAGTGGGTATAGATTGAATGTACCTCAATATAGTAAAGTCCATATATGACAAAACAACAGCTAATATTATACTCAGTGTAAAAAGCTGAAAGCTTTTCCTTTAAGATCAGGAACAAGACAACAATGCCCACTCTAGACACTTTTATTCAACACAGTATTGAAAATCTTGGCTAGAGCAATTAGTCAGGAAGAAGAAATAAAAAGCAATGAAGTTGAAAAGGAAGAGGTAAAACTATTATTGTGAACAACATGATTTTGTATATGGAAAACCCTAAAGACTCTACCAGAAAACCATTAGAACTAATACACATATTTAGTAAAGTTGCAGGGTTAAGAAAAATCAATGTATAAAACCTGTTGTGTTCTTAAATACTACCAACAAACTATTAGAGAAATGAAGAAAATAATTTCATTTATAATTGCATCAGAAAGAAGAAAATGCATAGGAACAGATTTAACCAAGGCAGGTGGCAAAAGATCCATACACTGAGAACTGTGAGACATTGATGAAAGAAACTGAAGAAGACACAAATGGATTGGAAAAAAATAATATTGTAAAAATGTCCATGTTACCCCAAATGATCTACAGATTCAATGCAATCCTCATTGAAATCTCAGTGGCATTCTCACAAATATTTAGAACACATAATACTAAAATCTGTATGGAACCACAAAATATCCTGGATATTGAGCCAAAGCAATACTGAGAAAGGAACAATGCTGGATGCATCATACTTTCTGATTTCAAACTGTGTTACAAAGCTGTAGTAATCATGGCACTGGCATAAAAACAGACACATAGATCAGTGAAACGGAATAAAGAGCTCAGAGATAAACCCAAGACTATATATTAGTCAATTTATGACAAGAATATACAGTGGGGAAGGGACAGTCTCTTTAGCAAATTGTGTTAGGAAAACTGGACCACTATTTTATACCATACACAAGAGTTAACTCAAAATGGATTAAAGATTTGAATGTAATACCAGAAGCCATGAAACTCCTAGAAGACAACATAGGCAGTAAGGTGCTTGACATTGTCTTTGTGATCTTTTTTTGGATCTGATTCCAAAGGCAGTGACAACCACCACCACAACAACAAACATAAATGAATGCAACTTCATTAAGCCAAAGAACTTCTGCACAGTGGAAGAAACCATCAACAAAATAAAAAGGCAACCTACCAAATGGGAGAAGACATTTGTAAATCATATATCCAGTAAGGGGTTACTATCCAAAATAGATATAGAGCTCTTAGAACTCAATAACAATCCAACTAAAAAATAAAGTGCACATTAATTGTAATGCAATTGAATCATCCCAGAACCATCCCCCTCCTCCCTCATCAGTGGAAGAACTGTTTTCCACGAAACCAGTCCCTGGTGCCAAAAAGGTTGGGGACTGCTGCTTCAGGGCATCTTGTAAATGGATAAGCTTACCTAAGTTAAAAGCTCCCCACGGATTATCTTTGATAGGTTAGCCCCACCTTAAGTCAGATCCACTCTGATGCCAGATACTCTCCTTCCTGCGTCAAGAGCAGGCAGCCTCCAGCAGGTTTCCTGACCCAGAGCAGAAAAAGAAATGCTCAGATGGCCTGGAAGCTCAATAAGCAAAAGCTGCGGATCCAGGACCAAGTGGACTTGCCCAGCACTTCCAGGGACAGCGAGAGAACAGCAGGTACCCGCCCTGGTTGCTCTGGGATCCTGGCAGCTGTGAGGGGAGGGGAGTCTGTTTGGGGCGTTGTAAAACCTTTAGAGTTTGAGCAAAAATTGATTTGAATCAGGCAGTATCCAGTCAAGTAGGTGGAAAGAAACTCTGAGAGGCTGTACAAAATGAAAGAGTTTTATAGACAGAAGGGAGCGGGAACAGGGAGGTTTCATTCGTCAAAAAAAGCTGGTTGGTTATTGCACAATTATTTCCTTTAGGGCAGCGATCCCCAACCTTTTTGGCACCGGGGACTGGTTTTGTGGAAGACGGTTTTTCCATGGATGGTGGGGCGGGGTGTCGGAGTTTCAGGCGGTAATGCCAGCGATGGGGAGCTGCTCACCTCCCACTGGGTGGCCCAGTTCCTAACAGACCATGGACTGGTACTGGCTCCAGGCCTGGGGGCTGGGGATCCCTGCTCTAGAGGCTAGCAGGGGCCAGTCAGGCAGATGCCCTTGAGAGGGTAACAGGCAGGAAGGCCAGGGGTCTCCAAGTGGAGGAAATAGGCTGCAAGTGCCAGACATTGTTCTCTCTCTTAAGCGGCAGGAGGAAACAAACTGGTGATATATTTTCCTTCTCTATACAAATTTAAAAGGAGGTTTCTCTTAAAATGCTGTGTTGCCATGACATCTGGTTTCACCTGAAGCTAACTATTCTCAAACCTTGAGTTAACCAATACATTTTTTTCTGATGGAAATGTTTGTCTTAAGCTATGTTAATGTCAACCCACTCCAGTACTCTTGCCTGGGAAATCCCATGGACAGAGGAGCCTGGTAGGCTGCAGTCCATGGGGTCACGAAGAGTCGGGTACAACTGAGCGACTTCACTTTCAGTTTTCACTTTCATGCACTGGAGAAGGAAATGGCAACCCACTCCAGTATTCTTGCCTGGAGAGTCCCAGGGATGGGAGCCTGGTGGGCTACCATCTATGGGGTCACACAGAGTCGGACACGACTGACGTGACTTAGCAGCAGCATGTTAATGTGCCCCAGACTCTGTCTTCAAGTTGGTTCCGCCAAATGGCTCAACCTATTTGACAAACTGGTATGTTATACTCAGATATTGTTCCCCTAATCAATGTAAACGAAACTATTTGTATGGTAATCTGCTCTTCCACAAGATTCAAGTCAATCGTTTAATGGCCTGGGATGAATTATCCGGTGCCATTCCGAGTTTTAAGACAGTCTTTTCTTTTCATTAACAGACTGCTAATGACTATATAGCATCCAGCTGAAGACTAGCAGGGAGGTAGTCTCTCTGCCCCCTTCTGATGCCTATGTCAGAAGCTTTCTCTATCTCCTTTATACTTTAATAAAACTTTATTACACAAAAGCTCTGAGCAATCCAAATTGAATTTGTCTCCTCCGGAGGCCAAGAATCCCGGCGTCTTATCCTTCAGCAACAACCTTTCACCCTGACTGGTGCTGGTCAGGGGGTTTCTGGTGGACTTAACTGAAGATGCCGTCTCTGGGAAAGCTGAAGCTGTCTCGGTTTGGTGACACGGGGCTTAGCCTAAGCGACTCTGTTCTGGGCCTGATGCCTTGTTTTTAAGAAAGGCTTGGGGCATTGTTTATATCTCTGTTGAAAACGTGGGGTGGAGGTGACACCCCGGGCTTTGAAATGGCAGATGCAAGTTTGGTTTCTGGGTCCTCTTTGGCACGCGGGTTCCCAGGGCTTCCGCAGACTTTGCGAGAAATCCAGCTGGTTGGTTTTGCTTTGTGTCCACACCTGAAGTCGGTTGTCAACCATCAACATGGAAAATACTGCTTTCAGTTAAAAAAAAGCTCACATAAACTGCTGTAACTCTTTCTGTTGAAAGAAGCTGCAAAGATTCTTGTGCTCCTGGGCACATAAAAGCATCTTGCTGGAAGGCTGGGCTCCACTGGGAGTGAGATTTTGTTTCCTTTGCCTTCTCATTTCCTTAGAAAATTTAGGAGTAGCTTCTGAATAGATACAGCGGGCAGCATATGTATGTCATAAAAATGAATTATAATTCTCTTGTTCTAGCCAAGGCAGCAGTGCCTGGGAGCTGACTCTAGGTGCGAGCTAACTCCCTGTTGCAGAACCCTAGATGGCTTTGCTTTTTATACACTTGCTTAATGTGTTAGTGAAATAAATAGAAGGAAAGGAAAAAAAGAGGGAAGGGGAGGGGGAGAAGGAGTAGGGAGAGGGAAGGAAGGATGGAAGACCCTGAGCTCTCCTTTCTTAAGGAAGGATTATTCAGTAAACAGTGAACTTGCTAGACAGACCACGATGGGGTTGTGCATTTCTCACGGTCTCAGACCCCATTCTGTGCCTAGGTGTAATGAGGTCTTCAGGGGGACATGGAAGAAGTTACAAAACCAAAGCAGGGTCAGAGAGGGACCTCCATCCTGGGTTCTGAGCTAGGAAAGGAGCTGTGTGTTACCAGACACTCAGATAAGCAAATTTGAGGAAGAGCAGAGGTCTTTAAGCATAACTTCAGAACTTCTACCACTTGTAACTTTTTACAGAGTACTTCTTAACACTATAGACTTTATATATATATAATGATCTCATTAAAGTCTCAAAGTAATAGTGTAAATAAAAGAGGTACATGTGGCACCCACAGTGGGGTTCCCCTTGTAGTAGGGAGAATTCTAGCGTGAGCCAATGATCCAAGGCTGCCTGGAATCCATCCTGATTGGGGGCGGGGCCTGTAACCATAGAGACACGTGGGGCGGGGCCTTCTCGAGGTGGGGAGGTGTGGAAGCGGGCCCAGATGATCTCAGGGAGGGTGAGTATCCCTGAGCCTCTCAGCTGAGCTCCTGGAAGGCACTGGGTGCTTCCTGGTGAAAGAGATTCAGATCCTGAGAGGGGTTCAGCACTGTTAGGGTTCACGAGGGGCTCATAGCTATAAGTTAAAATATGGCCCATTGTGGCGACCCGACAAGCAAGGGATGAAGTCACAGTGGCCACCTGGCCCTGGTGGGCATCCTGTTTCTTCTTTAAGGCGGTATCCTGTTTCTCTCTGCTGGTGCCAGTTTCTCAAGACTATGTTACCACCCGACCGTGAGACACCTTCGACTACGTGACCACAAGACCCCAGCTGCGGGCTAAAGATAAACTGAGGCCCCCTCCCTCCAGGGCACAATTCCCCATCGATAGGGTATGAGAAGGGTTGGCTGTAAAAGGAGAGCGCTGGTTTCTCTCTAAAGCCAGTCACCTACTCTCTCTCTTCCTGTACTAAATCTTTGTCTGCCTGACTGCCTGACTTGCTCACTTTTTCTGCGCGCTCACCTTACAAGCACAGTGGGTCGTCTTCATCCCTGGCTTAGAAGCTCAAGGGGTCACGATGACAAGGAAGGAGGCTGCTTCCATCCCCTGGGGGTGACAGCCAGTGAGGAGGCCTCTCAGTTTCATTTACATTATTAAATGCTCTCCATCAGGTTCAGAAACATTTCTTGCAAAAGTCATAAATGGTAAATACTTATGGCTTTGCAGCCACGTATAGTCTGCCTCTCGCACGTTTTCTTTCTTGCTTTCCTGCTTTTGCTCTCCCTCCCTCGTTTCCTTCCTTGCATACTTTAAAATGTAAAAAAAAAAAAAAAAAATTACTCTTAAAGACTGAACCAAAACAGGTTCTTGGTGGTTTGCTAGCTCCCGGTCTTAAATAATCAGTAGAACAATAAATTTAGGCCTGAATTGGTGTTTGCCAGTTTTGTATCAGGCTTCCTTGATAGCTCAGTTGGTAAAGAATCCGCCTGCAATGCAGGAGACCTGGGTTCAATCTTTGGGTTGTGAAGATCCCCTGGAGAAGGGAAAGGATACCCACTCCAGCATTCTGGCCTGCAGAATTCCATGGACTGTATAGTCTATGGGGTCACAAAGAGTCGGACACGACTGTGTGACTTTCACTTTCATGTTGCATAGTGTTAACAATCCACCATGATTGATTTCAAGCTTTGATGTGAAGGCTCTTCACTGTCAGAAAGGCCTGCAGAAGCACGGAGTGATGTGTCCCACGCAGAGACACTACGAGTAAATAACCAGAAAACAGGGCTGACAGTGACATGTGGTTCTGTAAACAGGAAGGGTGGAGTTTTGAGCATCTGTTGCCCTTGTTTTTAATGTAATTTGTGAATATCTGTAATTTAATTTTTAACGAAGACTGTGTTTAACAACCAGCTCCTGTAATTCCTGAAAAGTCGACAACTGGCTCTCCCGGGCTGGTTCTGACCACCCCCAGCACAGCGCTGCTCACGCCCTTGGGGGCGGGAGGTCTGTGTTCCCTCCTGTCACTGGGGCGTGACCCCCCAGTGGGATCACGGGCCTCCTTTCACGTTGAGGATGTGCTGTGTCCTCACTGATGGGAGAGCGAGGCGGGGCCTGAGCTCTGACGCGGGTGGGTCAGGCGCGGTGTCTCCATAGTCCGCCGCAGGCACCAGGGGACGTCCCTTCTCCCTGGCTTCCCCTTCTGTTTAGAGTTCGGTTACAACAGTCGTCTCTGTGTTCTAACTGAATGTTAGAATTCCCTTGTCTGAGTGAGGTAACTGACGCTCGGATAAAACGACTCCCCTGACATCACAGGGCTGAACGTCGCTGACTCAGCATTGAAACCGCGTCTTGAAGGCCAAGCCCGCTGGGGTTCCCTGACATCCTGTTGCAGCTGAAGTCAGTCTCACTAGGCTGTTCAGGCCCCCAGCTGGGGATTGAGCAGACACAAGGCTGCTCTGGACGGACTGACTGCAGCCTTGTCTCTGGAAGCGTTTCACCAGTGAGAGGTGTGGTCTGGGGAAGGCGCCCGTGAGGGGTGAGAGCGGGGCCCCGCCTGGGCCGTCAGGGGGACGGAGGTGGCCGGGGCGCCTCCCGCCTCTGAGACTATTGAGCACGAACACGGGACGCGTCCCTGCACTGGGAGCTACGGGGATTGCAGACCCAGAGAGGGGAAGGGGTCTAGGATCCGATACTCGCATGTCCCACATGGATCAGCTTTAACGTCCTCTTATCAGCGTGCTTCAGGACCACTTCTGATGGTGATAGTCTTGCAAGACCCCAGGGACCCCGGGACCCAATTCATTCACAGCTCAGACTGACGCATAGACATGCTCTGTGAGAAATCATTAAGTCCTTTTAAAACAAGTACATAATAAAATATTAATGTCAGTATTTTCTTATGCAGTTAAGCAATTGAAAACATTGGGATGTCTCATTTAACATGGCTTTCCCTTGAATAAATGTTCTTTCCCTATTGTAGGACTATGTTTATTCATCAAAGGTAATAGTAATCTTTCCCCTCAAAATAACTTTTCTCAGCCTTTAAAAATGTCTTACATACTCTTTATATTTTGTCTTGGAAATCTTAAATTAATCCTTAATCTCAGGGCTTCGCAGGTGGCTCAATAGTAAAGAATCCACCTGCCAATGTAGGAGACACAGGAGATGTGGGTTCGATCCCTGGGTGAGGAAGCTCCCTTGGAGGAGGAAATGGCAACCCACTCCAGTATTCTTGCCCGGAAATTCCATGAACAGAGGAGCCTGGTGGGCTACAGTCCATGGGGTCACAGAGTCGGACATAACTGAGCACCCATACTAACCTCAGGGTAGGTGAATTTAATTTTCACTTACTCCTCTAAGCTCACACCAGCTACAGGCCCTTGGTTTGAGGACTCCCTTTATTAAATACTGTGACTGTGTTCTGCTTACTCTGTCGGGAGGGCAGGTGGCTGTATATTGCAGTGACGTACGCTCAGGGACACTTCAGCTTCCTGNCAGGCCCTTGGTTTGAGGACTCCCTTTATTAAATACTGTGACTGTGTTCTGCTTACTCTGTCGGGAGGGCAGGTGGCTGTATATTGCAGTGACGTACACTCAGGGACACTTCAGCTTCCTGTTTTCTCTTTTGGAAGAACTTACTGCCTTCAGGATGTTTTATCGTGTTGTCAGTTTTCCCAGCTTAAACGTGCGTGGGTCACGTTTCTCTTGGCTTCACTGCGTCTTGGGCTCTTGGCTCCTTATTTATGGAGAGCGTCCCAGCCTTTGCCGCCCCCTCCACAGCATGGCCCCTGCCCCATCATCTAACAGCGCAGGTGCTCTTGTCCTCCTCCTGCCCTCCCAGGGTGAGTGCTGGCGTCTGGAAGGACCCCCGTGTCACCACTGGTGGAGACACAGAAGTTCCAGCACGCACTCTCCCCCTGCCCCCCCGCACCCCGATGGATCCCCTGAGGCTGATTCCTCCCGTCACTTCCCGGCATGAATGCAGGGCTGTGGTCCAGAGTGTGCCGTGTGGCTTCACCTGGGAACATCTGAAATGCTTGGGGGACACCAGCTGGCACTGAGGAGTCAGGTCCTACTGGGCCAGGCTTCGACCAGTGAGACAGGAGATGACCAGGAGCTGGGGGTTCGTGGCCTCTCTTTGTCCGCTGATGCTGGACAGAGTCCAGAGGTGGCTGCTAGCTGGGCCGCCAGCTGTGTCTCTTTGTGAAGCAATGGCCTCTGAGTAACACAAGACCTGCTCTCTGCTTCCAGACGTTCCCTGCCTCTCTCCTCCTTCCCCTCACTTTTTCATCCAGGGAATTACATCTCCTCTTAAAACCTTAGCTTTACCTGAATTTTTTTTTTAATTCGTGAGCCTTGATTTGTGTTTTACAAGGCATCTGAGCAAAGACAACAGGATCATTGGCAAATAACCTCTCAGGTTTCCTTGTGAACATGGCACAATGAAAAATAAGTCCATCCTTGTGTGATTCCAGTTCGATTTATAGCATGTTGACATTAAGTAGGAATCCACATGGAAGAGCAGAAATAACAACTAAGTGGTTCTTACCAAGGCCTCAGAGACCCTGCCACATACGGTCCCTTGCTACCTCCTGGACCCACTTTTCAGCCTCTCTCCCTCTGTCCACTCAGCTCATTTCCCCCTCAAGGCTGACAATACTTGTGCCTCAGGCCTTTGCACTTGCTCTTCCCACTTCTTTCTTGATGACTAATGACTTCTGTGTCAGCTTTAACCCTTGAATATTTCATATGTTTGATCTTATTATCAAGAATACTGTTTTTATGTTTAATTTTTATGTCATAGGTATGTGGGTTTATTTCTGGGCTCTCTGTTCTGTTCATTTAACCTCTGTGTTTGTTTTTGTACCAGTACTGTAGTGTTTTTGATTACTTTGTAGTATAGTCTAAAGTCAGGGCACCTGATTCTCCCTGTCCTGTAGTTCTTTTCTCAAGTTGTTTTGGTTATTCAGGCTCTTTTGTGTTTCTTTACACATTTTTAAATTATTGTGAAATGTGAAAAAGGTGAAAAAATGCTCTTAGTATTTTGATAGGGATTGCTTTGAATCTGTAAATTGCCTTAGGTAGCATTGTTAGTTCCTAGAGACAAAGAAATGTAATATATTATTTCAGTATATCGATCTTGTATCAACTTTGCCAAACAGAGTTTTCAGAAATTTTTTTCTGTGTGTATTCTGTAGAATTCTCTATGTAGAAGTGAATTTGAGATAATGTGTATTGTGCTATTTTTGGTGCAGTGTTCTATAATTGTCAAGGTCAAGGTGATTAATAATGTTGCTTGTCTTTTACATTTTCCTAATTTTCTGTGTACCTTTTCTCTATTGAGAAAGGATTGTTTAAATATTTGACTATAATTTGAGTTTGTTTCCTTTGTGGTTCTATTATCGTTGTGCATTTTCAGGGTCTTTTATCAAGTGAATAAAGATTTAGGGTTATATACTCTTCATGAGCTTTTCATTATGACTGCTCTTTGATTAGAAAATGACCCTCTTTTTTCCTGGAGTATTCTTTTCTCTAAGACTTACATTATCTGGTATCTTTTTTCTGTCCTTTTAGTTTCAAATTATCTCTGTCTTTATATTTACTGTGAGCTTCTTGTATGCAGCCTACAGGTGAATGTTGGCTCTTTGTCCAGTTGCCTAGTCTGTCTTAAATAGCATGTTCAGACTATCTCTATTTAGTGTGATTATTTTTATGGTTGGGTTTAAATTCACCATCTTGCTCTTTTTAAAAATCAGTATCATTTGCTTATGTTTCCCTCTTTTTGTAATCTCTTTGGGAAATGGTGTATTTCTTTGTTCCTGGTTATCTTTATTAGTCACATGGTTTGTTTTGTTATTTTAAGGGTTGTTTAGGGTAAATAATCCTAAACAAATCCTGAAAGATGATGCTGTGAAAGTGCTGCACTCAGTATGGTAGCAAATTTGGAAAACTCAGCAGCGGCCATGGGACTGGAAAAGGTCAGTTTTCA